CACTGCCCAGAGCACCTGCAAATGACCTGATCCTGGTCCATGGTTCCTACCTATGTACATTCTTGAAATTAGATCAAGGAAAAAAGTTTGATTAATAATATGTGTATATATGCATATATGCACACATCACAAGCACTAAAGAAGGGAACAAAATAATAGAAAGACAGAAAACCCTCCTATTTGTCCAACTTTGCCATGCAGGCTGTTGTCTGTCCCTAACAGATGTGTTCCTTATTAGTTCCTTAACAATTTCTGGGTAATTTTGTACATGCTTTATACTCTTTCTCCACCATACTCAGGAGAAGTATAGCTCTGAACTTTGGTAAGAAAGTTGTTATTTTCTCTCTTCTAGGCCTTATTCTTATTTCTTCCTCTTTCCACCTGCTTTCTTCAGTTCAATCACTATCATCTATGACCCACACCTCGAAGCAGCATAATCCTTTTGTTAGAGCAAAAAGCAGACATAGTAGCAATTTGGGATACATGAATGGAATCATTAAAGCATCACTCCTACTGTAAAATCACAAACATATGGGTATCACTAGAATCCATCTCATATTTATTTGTTTTCTATATGATGCTCTCATTCCACTTCTCACATAATAACATTTATTTACATACCTATCACATGCCTATTTATAGTACTAGTAATGAAGCCAGTAGGGGAGGGATCAGGAAAATGCTTTTTATGTGTTGGGAATGGAATTTTATTTTTTATTTTCTTTCTTTACTTTTTTGTTAATTCTTTCTAATAGTACATATGGACTGTATCTTTTATATCTTTAAGCCCAGATACTGACACACTACCTAGAAGAGAACCTAGTAAGATCTCAGTAAATATCAAATATTTCACTAATTACTGGATAGGTCTGGATTAATATATTATTAACTGCCTTGATAAAAATTGTTTCAGTACAGCCCAACATGGCGGAGTAAATCAGAGCAAGAGTATGTTCTGGAAGGATCTAGCTGATATTAGAAAGGGAAGGAACAAGATTTGAACTTGATTTCTATTCACATATAAAATTTCTTTAAAAAAGTCTTTATATAGGGGTATCTAGGTGGCTCAGTCTTAAACTTTGGACTCTTGATTTCAGCTCAGTTCATGATCTCAGGGTCATGGGATCAGGCTTTGAGCTCAGTGGAGAGTCTGCTTGAGAATTCTCTCCCTCTCTCCCTGTGTGCATGTGTGCACATTCTCTCATCTCTCTTTCTAAAATAAATAAATAAATCTAAAAAAAAAGTCTTTCTGGCTCTAATTACTGAGTTTTTAGAAAAATATCTTCTGGCTCTTCAGATTGGTGGCCTATATAGTTAAGTTTTTATATTTTTACCAGGTTCTTGTTTTTGGTGGTTTAATTTTTCCCTCTATATTGTAAGAGTTTAGGATTGATCCTGAAAAGCCTCCATTTCATTGGTGAGACTCTGGGAGTAGGATACAAAAAGGGACCTAGATTTTGTTCTAAAACCAGATTCACAGAAGATACTGTCTGGTTATTTGAAGCCCCAAAGCAATGCCTTTAAAATTTCATTAAAGGTATTAGGGTAATTTTTTTTTTCTCTAGTTATAATTACCTAGCAGGGAGCTATAATCACTATAAATTATTGCATTAAATGTAATAAATTTTAATTTTCTTTTGATAGAACTGATCTCATCTTTACATGTATATTGCTAAAATGCTGCCTTAAAGGTGATATTGATCCATAATAATATTTGAAATCGGCATACACAGCCTCAAGAAATGGGTAAAAGAATAAAATAAGCCATCTCCCTATCCCATTTCTAATCCATGCAATTGAAAATAGGTGAATTTTCATTTTATAACACAGACCTAACCCACCTTATTTTAAATTCATCGTAGGAGCTTGACTTGCAAGACAAAATTCATAGAATATTTTAAAGTCCTATTGCTGTGGAGATTTATGCAAATTCCTTATGGAAATATAGACATAACTTTTCCTTCATCAATAATGATGCATATTTTCCTGTGAAATATAGGCTGGACCTCACCATCACCATATGAGACTTTTCCAGTGTAGTCATTGTATAAAAAGCATTGGTGGCATTTCACTGAAAAAAATAGCCTCATATTAATTTAATGTTTCAAATGACTTTAGGACTTTTAAACAGTGGGTTTGGGCATAGACCTAAAATTCTTTTTTTTCTCTATGAGGATGAGGGAAGGAGAAGAGATGGGTAGCAGGGGTCAGAAATTAAAGTAAGTTTTAATAAACATACAGGTTATTAAGAAACCTTACTCAAATTAAGGATCCATCAATGACAGGAATAACAGGGTGTTTTTTTTTTTTTTACAAGACTTCTATCTAAAATGCACAGTGATAGTGTATTTTGACTATTCATCTTCCACTCTAAATTAAAGTTATGGTTTTGAACACTAGGGAATGTCAGTGAATGAAATAATCAACAACAAAATAGGAAAGAACTTGTTCTGCAAATCTTTTCTCAAGTGACTTTTGGAATAGAATCTATGCAATAGTATTTTTTTCCTTTTCTTTGATGAGGGAAGGAAAAGAGAATACAAACCTTAAAAATTATCATATTAAAACACATATGGCAGACAGCCTCTTTTTCCTTACCAAAAATATTTTTGACAGGAGAAGGAAAGGGCTGGAATCTGTGAGGGCAAGTAGACATGTACATTTTAAGTTCTATTACATTGATTGATTTCATAAAAGTTAACAAGCTATTTAAAAATTATACACTATTCACTTATCTCCTTGTACTCTTCACCAGATGGCACCCAACAAAGGAGACATGCCATCAATCATCCTGTGTCTTGCCCAGTGCTTTTCCTGTCCCACTTTTCTCGTGCCTTTCAGCGCCATTTGCCGCTGTGGCATCTCTACATGTCTGTGTGCTGAAACAGTCAGCTGCCGTCACTTGGCTTCCTAAGACACTTGGCTTAAACTTCAGTCTCTCTCCTTCAGAAAAGCTAGGCACCACGCATCATGTCCACATGCTCATGTCAATATGCGTAGAATTTGGAAAAGGGGGCATTGGTGCTGAACTGTCTCCCCATTTTTTACAAGCATCCTTTGGTCCATAGCGATTTTCAAAAAGTTAGGTTTTCTGGTGCATCTTTTCTTGATGCAACTTAATTTGATGGTTTGGATCGATAAACTCTTGCATTCCGAAGCATCTCCAAGATTTTGACAATTCGTACCAATTAAGTTCAGATGTGTCAACAAAGTGACCCATCTGACAGGAGCTTGTCAGTGGTTTGACAACAAGTTGCTCCTGTTGCATGAATTATAGACATGATCAATCCCCAAAGGGGTCCTTCAAAAGGGCAATAGCAGCAACATATTGGAAGGATAGAAAATTTTAAATTTAAAGGAGAGGGAAATTAACTTTCACTAAGTTAACGAACGCCTACACTCTTTTGATTACTAGTAGATATTAGTTTGCACTTAGGAAACTATTCTATCTAAGTGAACAGATGCTACTTGTAAATGTTAGTGCATCAAAGTTGAAAAACATCATAAACATAGAATTCTAATCATCTTTTGGCTGGAAGAGAGGGTTTGGTCTATTTGAAAATGAGTTAAAACACATTAGAGACTGGACTATTTACAATAATAAGATGCTTTGCATAACCTGTTCCTTTTACAGATGATACATTTTTTCCTACTTTGGCCTGTTTGTTAGACACAGTGGTTTGGCTTTCTTTTCTCTCTGTCAGGAACTGTGAGTACTATTCACTTTGTTCTTACCACATTCTACCTGGTAATCCCACATTTATGTGTATAAAGATGCATCTATATAAGACACAGGCCCAATGCAAAATGGGAATGTTGGACCCCCTGTCCAAAAATTACTAAGATTTTTAAGATGGCAGCAGAGTATTAAGCCAAACATAGGTCATCATGTCCTTGTGCATCATATTCTTTCTCACTCCAGTTTAAAAATCTTTTTGAAGACAGATGTTCTCTTTCTTCTTTTAGTTATTTTGAATATTATGCATGAATATGCTTTAAAAATCAAAATGTATCAAAGAACATATAATGAAAATTGAGCTACTTTCTTTCCCAAAACCCTTATCATATTGCCCAGGGAGTATCATCCTCAATAGAGTCTTGCATGGGCTGTGCCTTGTGCATAATGTCTTTCCACTTCATAGAAATGAAATAAATATTTGTTGCTTGTTATATCAGACTGTGTATTCTGGATATAGCAGCAATGGCAGCAAGTCATTGACTGAGAAAATGCTTGACAGTTAAGCTGGAGAGGAGACCTAAATATGCACTTTCATTTAATGAGTGAACACAGAATATCAATAGTTTTCTCTTAATACTAATTGTGCTCATTTATAATGCTCAGTGAAAATTAATTTTAAGAGATACTAATTATATTGTACCCACATAGAATTCACTGTTGGCTTCATAATGGGACTTGTTTTACAAAGATCAACTGAAATAAAGGCATATTTGGGTTCCCGTAACAGTGAACCTTATTAATTTGCATTAAACTGTTTGCATTAGATTAGGTTAAAATAAAACACAGTTGAAAAGTCCTACTATGTAACAAAAAATTTAATTACATCCTCAGGACATACCCTTGCATTAGGGTTTGTCATCACAATTTTATAGACAAGAACATGAAGTCTTAGAAAATGGAGGGAACTAGCCCGGGGTCACTGAAGCAAGTAAACGGTTTCTAAGTCTGTACATATTATAGTTCTTACACAGTCCCTTGAGTTTCCATGTTAGAGAAAACTTAAAATAGTTCATCCAATACTTACCTCAGTTACTCAGTTATTATAAGCTTCCTAAGTAAACTGGTAATTGTACTACTCAGGAAATTGTATCTCTTGTATTTGGAAAAAAAAATATAATCTCATTAGAATTCATCAATGCTAATAAAGTGTGTGAAAGGGGAAAATCAACACAGCTAATGTGTAAACCAGAAAAACAAAGACAGAAGGAGATAAAAAGAAATGACCTGGAGCCCTGTCTGCGAGCAATATTTATTTACCTATATGCCGGATTCATATTGTGCCTTCCTTCTGAAGAGCTGGTGTAAGATCTTGCATGTGGTATGCTTTGAAAGAGAAATTTGTGAAATCAGCCTGGGCTTGGGAGTGGATAACCTCGAACAATGTATTCCAAGCATTTGGTGGATGTGAAAGAGCCTACTGCTACCGTGAATGGATAATTAACATTTACTGAGCAGTTAACACATTTACAGGTATGTTGCCTGCGCCCTTTCTCTCTTTTTCCCCTTCCTGTTAAAAAATGAAGCTTTTAGTGGTGATGACGTGGTGTCCGGATGGTTATGGTTAAAAGGAACGGTGGGTAATCTGTAGTCTTTTCTAACAGGAGCACTTGCAAAGACTACCCATTATTTCAAGCCCTAGGGGGATAAAATGATCTTTTGCATCATTTCTGAAGTGTGAAATGAGAAATGTATCTTTGGCAGTGTTTAGATTTCTAACCACATGAAAGATTGGAAGTGTTTTTGTTCCAATGTAAAATGAGAAGATGGTGTGATTTCAAAATACTTAGTCTGGGGAAAGGGTTGAAAAATAGCATTTTCTTCCCTCAGGTTGTTTTTATTCCCAAATGGGCCATTTATTTATTTACTTACATATTTTCTAATTTTTTTCAAGGTCTACCGCATGTAAAACCATGAGGATAAACAGAAATATTTTTAACGTATGGCCCAGACCTCAAAACAAAGTAAGGCAAAGATAAGTAGAAATGATCCGAGGAAATGTATATCGTGCTGAGATGCTATTTGAAGCAGCAAAGATGGACCATATATACTATAATGGGCTGAGTATGGAAATAAGTAGTCTCAATGCCCACACTGAAATGCCTCTGTGGGTTTTTCTGGAGAAAAGATAATCTTATAGAGAAGTCACAAAAAACATTTTGACAAGCCATCTTTCAGATTTCTGGTGCTTCCATGAAGGAATTTAGACATAAGGGGGCATGGGCAGGAAGGTGTAAATATATTGCACTAAATGTAATCACAACTGTAAGCGTAAAGGGGGCATCCAGCTGACACGACTCTGGAGAAATTGGTCTTGTTTATAATTATATATATTTCTCTCTGAGAATAACTTAACAGTGCTCACTCCAAGATGGATTCTATGCTGTTGTTAACCAAATTAACAATAATATTGTTTATTCTTGTTTGATACAGTGCTTCAAATCCTAAAACTAATTTTTCTTTGACACTAACACCTAATTTACTTGGAAAAAAGCTATTGTCACTTGTTCTCTATTCTTTTCCTTTTCAGCGAATAAATTTATTATAAGAAGCATTGTTTCAGTATTAAGGTAAATACACTCTGATAGAGCTCATTATGTTTTAATCTTTTATTACTGTTAATGCAAACAGTAGCACATAAGTTGCTGATGAAAAAAGTAGGATTTTGTAAGAATGTTCTGGGAATTCTTTTACATGTCCAGCTAGGGAAGACAAAAAATACTA